GCAGCTCCAGAGAGAGCCGGGTCTGGCTGTGATTTATCTGTGGGACAGTGGGTGGTCAAGGGGCACCACGGGACGGCCAGTCATCCCACTTGATAATTAGGGAGGGGAAAGGCAAACAGAAACACACCCAGGTTGACATTCAAAACAAAGTGAGTGTTTAACCAAGGCTTGCTCACGATACCCCCCTGATTCTCTGTCTGCAGTCGGCAGTAGGGAAGCCAGTAGCCATCAGCAGCAGTGCTGGTGATTTATCCATGGCGCCGGGCACCACGAGCACAATCCGGGTTGAAAAATGAAGGCCCCAGAGTGGAGCCCTCCCTGCCTTGTTCTTTAGTGCTGACTGGGTCTCCCTTTTGATGGTGTGTCCTTGCTCGAGGAAAGAACCAATCATTGCGCCCCCATCCCCTAAAGGTCTTATCCCTCCAGTCTTTTATTTCTGTGTCCATCCACACACGCACATATTCAAGCATTTATTCAATTAGCTGCCAACACCCCTATAGATGAAGTATTGACAATCTTAATGACTTCATCTGAAAGACGGAAATCAAGCATGACCAGGCCATCGAAGTGGAAGAAACATCGTTGGCTATTGATCGCCTTCAATTCCTAGGAGAGGAATGACATTCCAGCTTCTGTTTTCTAAAGGACAAATGTACTGCTTTTCTCTCCAGGAAAAACATGATGGGCATGTTGAGCTATCTTCCAAAAAAATGAAATGTCACCGGCTATTCTTCACCAGTTTCTCTCTTAGCCAGAATCAATCTAGTTTTATTCGCTCCTTCTCAGCCCTACCCGTATTTTCTACCAGCTCCATCTCACCCATCTCCTTAGTAGCTTTGGTTCCTTGCATGGTTTAAAACACACTTGATAGAGCCTAGTTAAATTCACTTTTCATTCATGGACCTTTTACAGTACCAGAAGCCTCCATGGTTCAGAGATTCTCTTTGAGGAGCTGCCAGCCAATCAAGTGAGGGAGAGGAGAGGTATGTGTAAGCTGTGAAAAGTGGAGACAAGATGTGTTGGTGAAGAGGCAACGGCAGAGCTGGACCTGTGAGGGAGTCTACCTCGCTCTTGATGGATGGATGAGGACATTCTAACTCTGTCATGTTGATCTGGAGGTCCAAACTAACGTTGCCCCCACGATCTGCATATTAATGTACATTAAAAAGAACGATTCCATCCACGGTACTGACACTTCTAGCTCTGTCATGTTTTTAGGCTCAAATTCGGTGTCATAATCAAAAGCCTTGTCACTGAGTTGTGGCATTTATATAGCATACACGCAGGCCTGGGTTTAATTCCCAGCATGGTATAAATCAGGTAGGGTGGTACGCATCTATAATCCTAATATTCGGGTGAATGGAGACAGGAAGTCCCAAATTTTAAGGTCATCTCCCTGGCTACCCAGGCTACCTAGAGAACCTGAGGCCAGCTGGCTAGCTACATGAGACTCACTGTCAAACAAATTAAAACAAAAAATCTTTGTCATTGAAGCTGGAGACTAGTTTTGTTAAATAATGTCATTCAGCCAGTTTTTAAACATCTCTTCATTTGGCTAATAAGTAGGGGCAATATTTCTGTCATGTGCTTTCTGGGGACAGAGTCAGACACAGCCATACAGTGTTTTTCTCTTAGAAGCAATGTTCTCCAGCCTTCACGGACCTTTTGAAACCGAAGGTAAAAACAGCAGAGCAGTCAGAACCTTAGAGAATGGTCTGTCCTATGCCACCACTCATCTGAACGAGCATCTACACTGTGGGAGTCACCTAATCTAGAACCCAGAATCTGAGGAAGATCTTACAATTTAGGGTAGTTAGAAAGATGGAAAGGCGGCAGCGGGGGAGGGGGAAGCACGTCTAGAGATACGACTTGGTGGTTAAGAGTACTTGCTCCTTTTACAAAGGTCCAAGGTTTGATTCCCAGCAACTTACAGGGCAGCTCACAACTGCACCTAACTTCAGCTCCAGGGTATCCAATACCCTCTTCTGATTCAATGGTAGATACACAGACATACACTCAGGCAAAAATTCCCATACACACATTTAAAAAAAAAAAAGGCTGGGTGGTGGTGGTACACGCCTTTATTCTCAGCACTCAGGAGGCAGAGGCAGGCAGATCTCTGAGTTCGAGGTCAGCCTGGGCTATAGACTGAGTTCCAGGACAACTAGGACTATACAGAGAAAGCCTGTCCCTCCCTGAGGACAGTGATTTCAGTCTGTTCATGAGCCCCCAGTGGAAGCCAATATGTGTACAGCCAGCTCAGCACCAGCTAAGAATCTATGCAACCTTTGACCGATAACCAGTCAGCACTACGATAAAGGTAGGTACAATAAATCAAAGATGAGCATACATGCTAAGAGGTCCCAGATTAGTGCACTTCTGAGTCTGGTAAGAACCCCAGGTTTCTCTCTCAGCAGAGAAGGGATGATGTCCAGGAAGGGAAGCAGACACATTCTAAAGGGCAATTCCTGGTCAGCGAGCCTCTAGCCAAGTCATGCATTGAAATAAGCCCCACCTTGAAATTTTGTCCACCTCCAAACTCAGGTTGGTGGCTTTTGTCGGGAGCTTCTGGGGAATCTGAAACGAGTCCTCTGACATAGCAGCCCTGGGGAGAGTCGGGCTGCAGGGCTGAGGCGAGGGCAGCTCCTCCTCGTAGCTGGTTGCTAGTGTTCTCTGAGAACACACCCTGTGGAGGACAAGCATCACAAAGGCCCCCGGGTGACCTTAGGAAAAGTCCTTGAAAACAGTGAAACAAGAGTCTCCATTGAAATCTGGAATCCATTCCAGTCTCACACAGGAAGAAAATTAGGCAAAGAACAACAAAGCCCGTAGTTCAGAGAAACCTGGGGAGGCTCTATCTGACACTCAAATCGTGGAAGACTTTTTTTTTCTTACTGCTTGGTATTTCCTAAAGTCTTTTCATCTGTGCAGCCCCGAAGCTGGTAGAAAATACTGTACGGCTAAGAGATGGCAGTAGCCGAGTGAGCCATCAGCAAAGCCAGTGGAGTCAGGACAGAAATGCCGACTGATGTGGTGAAGCCCACCTGACCCTTCTCTGAGCTGCTATTGCACAGTGGATGCTATTCTTCCAAATGCTAGTGGCCAACGCTGCTGTTTTCCCCTTTGGAATAATGTATTGGTCATAACAGGGGCAACAGAGGTAACCACTGGGAGCCAAGAGAAAAGCCGCGCTTCCCAGGCACTCATGCTGAGATCCAGCTCATGAGTCCAGATCTCACCAGCCTGGAAAGGTTTATTCACTCAGAACATGAATCAGCAGAGTGGCGTGCTCACTCCGGGCCTTGAAGTCAGGGAGTGTTTGTGGGGTAACAACCGTTCTCTTAAGAACAGACCAAGTCTCGTTGGTTCCCAGCTAACATTACTCACAACTAATTAGCCATATCACGTGATTCAGTTCATGTGAATAAACAACCATAGACCTGTGTCACCTTTGGAAGCATTGTCCTTATTTGGCAGCGAGAAAAGAGGTGGGATTTTTTTTCTTTTTAGTTGAAGAGTGACATTAAGACCCAGCGAAAATCAATTGTCAGGGATACATGGTTTGAAATCATATTTTACATCCCATCTCTAGTTGGTCTGAAAGAAGGACACTGATCTCATAGCAAGTAAGAAGACTGCAGGATCCTTTAGCTGGGGACAGAAGACGCCAGACACATTTACTCATACACGTACGAATAGTTTAATTTTGTTTCTTCTTAAGCACCTTTATAGTTCATTTTTATTTTCCTTTAAAAAGGAGGGGGCGGTAGATGGCATTGCTTTGGTCTCCAAAACAGATGCCAGTTTGAACTTTATTTTGCCAGCAAGTATTTGGTTTGGCTCTGTGGGGCGTGAGTTGAAAAATATTTGCCGATTCCAAAAAGACTTAGCGAGCTTTGCTGCGGACGCCGTGCCATCTGGCACATCACAGGGTCTGTGGTGGTGCAAAGAGAGCTCTCCCGACCACAGTTTTCATTTGCCCAGGGGAGCCAGCACTGGGGTTCAGTTGATTCTCGGGGTCAAGAAATTACAGGTCAAATGGGTTAGCAGGCTGGGGGAGGGATTAGGGCAAATTCCATTCCCACGTACATGACAGATAACTTTCAGAATGGTCCACAGTATTGTCACACACCATCAATGCTGCCAACCAGCATACAAGATACACACCCACTTCTAGAAAGTACCACCCTCATCAGATACAAAAGAGAAAGAACAGAAGAGCCATGTTGCAAGGCGTTTCGGCCATCCGATGGGAACTGTGGTGTTGGTATATAACTATATTCAGAGAGTGGCTGCTTCCTGTAACTCGGCTAAACCGTGACAGAAACTCAACTCTACATGGCTGAGAGACAAGAACCTCCTTTATTAAGACCTAGTAGAATATAGACGCACAGATCCAGCTTGGAAGACTGGCCACACTGCCCCTGAGCATCAGAGGTTAAAGGTCACTGGAGGTTGTCAAGTGTGGTCATGCCACACAGATGGCCGGAAAGGAAGACCTTTTCAAACCAGTGTCACATATAAGAGCTATGCAAAATAATAATAATAATAATAATAATAATAATAAATACAGCTTTCCTATAACTGTGGACATGTAGGAATCGAAAGTCTGTTTTATGACATTGGATGAGAAGAGTGACATGAGAGATGTAGCTAGGTTATAGAGTTGTGCAATATTTTGTTATTTCACACAACGAGCAAATAAAAAAAATAGTGGGGCATATTCTACCCTAACTCCTATGTACTTCCCCAAATTTCCCAACACCCTTTCTTTAACACCAAATGCTAAAACTTAGCTTGGGAACTGATTATCTGAGGCAGGAAAGCTATATCAACTATCTAGAAGACCAAGTCAACCTCTCAATCGCCTTTCCAGAGAAATCCCTATTCACCAGAACGAAGAACGGAGCGCTCTCTTAACTGAGGGTTGGAAACAGACCAGAACTCGACGTCACAATCACAAGCAATGTAACGAAAAGATGACGGAAGCTCTTTCTTACCATTTTGGCTTCTGAATGCATTGACTGGACTTGGGGAGAAGCACAGGGGTTGCTGAGGTTGGGGCCTTGCATGCCCATGATGCTGGAGTTCACCGACATTTGTCTCTCCATCTGCGAGAAAGGAAGGTAACACAGTTAGAAGACTAGGGGGCCTCAGAGGCTACAGACATAGCTGCACTTTGGTGGGGGTTCGGGGACGTCATTAAGGGTTTCACTGAAGAGCTGAGGAACCACAGGCTTGGTGCAGGGAGTAATGCTCTCTTGAATCTTGAACCTGAGCACATTAAAGAATCACCCAGTTCTGTGTGCTCCCTAGAAGATTCCCCATGCCAAGAGGAACTGCCTGGTCTGGCAGACGTTGCCAAAGAAAACAACCAAATGTTTCTGCTTCGCTACACACTTCAACCATCTCCAGTCATATTTAATTTTGTTGCTATAAAGAATAATATATGCATACAATGTTAAAAGATTATACAATGTACCAAATGGTTACCTTAGGATGTTTTGGGCATTATTTTACCTGAACTTTTATATAGTAAACATGAATTATTCGGAAGACGAAAAAGAAAATTAAAGCAACTCTGTCTCCTGTAGTGCCTCTCTCTGCCTTTACAGGGCATTAACATAGTCAGCAGAGCCCAGGGCAAGATGGCAAAGCTTTTATCTTTGCACTTGATGAGCAAAGGTGGGAGGATCATGACTTGGAGGTCACTCTAAGTGACAGGAGTTCTAAACCAGCCTGAGCTACACAGTAATACCCCATCTCAAAAACAAAACAAAACAAAAGAACCATAGCGCCATCCCTTGCCCCGACACACACACACTAATTGACCCTACCCTTAACCTGGCCATGAGTCCACACAGCTCTCGTGTGAGGCCCCACAGCAGACTAGGCTTTCTGTGAGGAAGAAAGAAGCTGGGGGATGGGAATTACACATCACGGATGAACAGTTTACTGTATGTGTCCTCTTGCTAGGCTACCATTGCCTGCCATTAATAGCGCTGCAATCCATAAACAGAGAGCCGGCATCTTCAGGGCATCCTATAAGCAATCACAACACGATGAGGGCACTTTACCTAACTCCTTTGGAATAGATGTCGTTTCTCAATTTTAGATGTTTTAGGATTTTAAAACATTTACATGTACATGATTCAGGGGATGGAATCGATTTCTAAACATGAAACACATTAATATTTCATGTACTGCTTATATATACAATCTCTAGTTAATATACTAAGTCTTAGTGCTCCTTGCCCCCAAAAGGTTTCAGATTTTGGATTTACAGATTAATCAACTTGCATAGCTTGTAATTTCTGTGTCAGTACAGAAAGGATGCATATGGTCAGTAATATTGTGTGTTAAGGAGAAAAATAGTACTTTTTAAAGAAGAATGAAACCAAATACACCTCTATCACACAGGAAATAATCAGGCTGCCTGCTAGGGACACAGTGATGCTTCAGTGTATTTCTCCCAAAGGGCAAAGAGAGGTGCTTAGAAATTTGGGGGTTCCCCATTCTCCTAACTTAGCCTACGTGATTTTGGAAAGTAGAGAGTTTCTTATCCATGAAGGTCAAGGTGGAGTGAGGAAGCTCCCCGCCCACTCCGGGGCAAGTTTGAGAGCAGTCTGGGTGGGATGGTCTTGGAAAGGCCGCTCAGGTGGCTGAGCTTCAGTGGCTGTGTTTCCTTTGGTACTGACCCTGGCAGAGGCACCCCCAGTTAGTATGCTCTTTTGAGCAGTTGGGTAATGCCAGCCGAAAGCTTTCTTCTTTTTTTTTTTTTTTTTTGGTTTTTCGAGACAGGGTTTCTCTGTGGCTTTGGAGCCTGTCCTGGCACTAGCTCTTGTAGACCAGGCTGGTCTCGAACTCACAGAGTGCTGGGATTAAAGGCGTGCGCCACCACCGCCCGGCTCGAAAGCTTTCTTCTAAGGTGGATACGAGTTTTCCCTTAGCCTGGATCAGCTGCCCTGTTATCCAGCAGGGGTGAGGGGAACGGTGTCAAGAGGAGTTAATGAAGGCCAGCTTCTTGAGGCCTTGACAATTCAGCAAAATAAAACACCCATCCCCATGTGTGCTAATTCCCTAGGCAGCGTGGGTATTCTACTTTTAAATCATTTGAGTTGTGATTAAATATACTTAACATAAAATTTACCATTTAACCTGTTTTAAGAGCTCTCGAGTTGAGTATCATTAAGAACATTCTCACAGGCTATAATTAAGTTGTGGAGAATTCAGGAAATGCACCTTCACTTAGACCTTTTGCCCCCAGAGGCCAAGCAATCAGAGGAATGGAGCTGCCTTAGGCCCTTTATTCCAATGAGGATCTTTTAGGGAGGGAAATCAAAGCCCAGGTGAGCTTTGCCTTCCAATTCTAGAAGGATGAAATATTCCATCTACACAGGGGTGAGAGCAGCCCGCTTGCAGCTTCCTGGCAAGAAGTCAACAATCCTGCTCATTTTTTTTTAAAGTAGTTGTCTGATTGTTACTGCTTTGTTACACAAAACGCTGGCTCTGACCAGGCTGTCTTCTGCATCTGTTAAAAGGAAAGCCTGGGTTCTCCATCTTGCTGACTATCACCAGGTAGAGTGTGAGCAAGCATCACCTGACAGCAAGCACCTGGAGCTTTGCTGGGCCAGTGGCCTGCCTGCACCACAGCCTGACTTTAAAGAGCTGACAGGAACAGAACGGCCTTGCTGAATGCCCCACAGCGTTTTACCACTGTAACTAAATGGCTAAGCAAGGGTTAGGGTGTTGCTCAGTGGTAGAGAGCCCCCTAAACATGACGAGGCCTGGGTTCCCATCTCCAGTTGCACAAAAGCACCCATATGAAGGATTCCCTCTCTTTTCACTCTGGAAAGCAAGACCTGGAGTATCCACAGGTTAGGAAGCTCTTATAGTGATAAATGGGTGCCCATTTCCCTAAATTGTGGAGCCATTTGACTTTCAAGATAATAAGAAATCACTACTTGGGAAGTCCTTGAAGGCAGCACCTGCTTTGTACTCCCTGGTGGAGCCTTAGCATCTAGCAGTTTCTGGCGCACAGGAAGTGTGCAGCATGAATGAAAGAATGAATAGATAGATAATAGATAGATAAATAGATAAATAAGTAGATAGATAGATAGATAGATAGATAGACAGACAGACAGGCAGACAGATTGGTCATGTACTTTGGATCTAGCTTTTGCGAAGGGCGTGGCCTGGAAGCATGCCATTGTGAAACAATTAAAAATCTCACCTTCACCTAATTTCAATTTGGATGCCTGGGTCCTCAAGATCTCCCAAGGCAGGGACTCTCAGGGAAGGAGCACCCTTGACTGACAGTCCAGAAGACAGAGTCACAGCACAGGAGCTGCTAACATGACTAAGGAAGAAGAACCTGGATTTCAAGGGTCTGGGGATTCTGGGAATATTTCTTTGATGTTTTACTTCGATTTTCATAAATGACTTCAGCATTCCCGAAGCACAGCACTATTGATACTTTGAGTCAAACGCTTCTGTGTTGTGGGAGTGTTCGGTATATTGTGAGACACTTGACAGTATCCTTAGCTCCTCTCCATTAAACACCGACCATACTTGGCTCTCCATTCCTGTTGGGACACCAACACTCTCTCCAGACATTGCCTACTATTGTCCTGAGGGGCAAGATGACCCTCCCACCCTTACTGTTCATCACTGCTCTGCATGACACCTGCCGCCAGGACAGCTGTATTCCGCCATGGACTATGGTTTAGGAACTTCTGTTGGGGCCATGGTCCTGACTTTTTGTTTACATTGGTTCTTGACCATTCACCTGAATCTTCTGCTTCTTTCTATCCTAAAGCATTAGCTGTGGGTCAAGTGGGTATAGGGTAAAGTAGAAAGAGGGGTGTTAGGTTTTCAGGGTTTTCAGCTCCCATCTCATCCTGGAAATGACAGCTTAACTACATAGAAACAAAGGATCTCTAAAGTGGCATTTTTCTAAGTATTGTGTGGAAATATTGAGAAGAAAATTACTTTGGGCAAGTGGGACGTAGCAGCGGAGTGAGGACAGCCTGTGGTCAAAGTCTCCATGAAATTTGAACTGAACGAAAGCAGGAATTTCTGTATTAATAGTGCTGTTCTTCTTGGTCAACCAGTACAGGGGAAATAACCTGACCCTCCATCTATCCTCTAGCTAGAGTGTATGATGGGCTTCCAGCCTGGACCACCAAGCATTAATTTGTCTGAACTCAGTTCACACGATCTTTTCTGTTCCTCAGCCTACCCCACTAACAGAGCCAATGGCTCAATAGGAGATAATCTGAGCAGTTTGATGTGAACTGAGATCTGGGTTCCACTCACAATCTTCACTCACACACGGTGTTGATTTCGACCTTAAGCCTTCAACTGCTTACCCTCTAGCTCTTCACCCAAAAGTGAACTTTTCAGAAATTGCAGGGACCGAATCCCCTTGGGGTTACCATGAGCACAAAGTGGCACAATCCGGTTGACGACACCCTAAGATGCTACAAAGGGTCATGCTCAGTGTGTTGTGGGAGGGTTGCTAACTGGGTTGTCAGACTGCTTCTAGGGCTTTCAAGAGTTCCTGTGGTCCTGTTCATTAAAGCTTAATGTGAGGAACAGTGAGGCAGGTGGAAAGAGAGAGCCCTAGAAGAAAGCAAGTCTTCTTCTGCTCCCCTCCATCTCCCCAAGCAGAAGGGAAGCAGTATATAGAACATGCATAGAACATGCTGAGTGTGGAAACTCTTGAGGTCAGGGGTAATGCACATGCCTTGTGACCCAGCACCAAGAGTCGAGATGAGAGCTCAAGGCCAGCCTGAGCTGCACAGTGAGACCCTATTTCAAATAAAAATCAACAACAAGTCAGGAGTCAGACTCTTAGATTTAGATCTTGACTATCACCCACCAGATGTATACCCTTAGCCATGAGGCAGAACCCTGGGAGTCCCCACTTTCTCATCTGTGACAACCAGTTTACAAGTATGTCCCTCAGTGATGTGCTGGGAAGGAAAAGAGAATGCACCCATCACTTGGTAGTTGAAAGAGCAGACTTTGGAGCCAGGATTCCTGAGTTCAGAATCCAGATCTCTGCTTCTCGGATGAACAAGTCACTGACCTAATTTCCTTCTTTCAAAAGACGGGGACCACTATAGACCTCCTTGCAGGGCCGTTTCGTGTGCTGACAAAGTGCATGTAACAAGCACCTGCAAACTGCTGCCATTTATAGAACGTGATGTGCATGAATACAGATTACCAGCTAGCACATGTGATCATTTCATCAGTGCCCTGGGTTCTGTCTAGAACCTTCACTATCCCTTGCATGCTTCTGTATATGATTCATGATGAGGACACAGAACCCTTGGTATCCTTGGAAATTAGCACTAGAATACCAGCCTCTGCCTTGGTACCCAAAACTGACTGTTTAAGTCCCTTGTACATGATTTGCATATAATCTGCATATCCTTCTCATTTATTCTATATTATATTGTACTACCTAATATAATAGCAATGCTCTGTAAAAAGTTGCTAAACCATGTTTGAGGAATAAGAACAAGCAGAAAAATCTGTAGGTGTTCAGAAAATATGCATTTTTAAACAATATTTTCAGTTCAAAGTCAGCTGAATTGTGAGTATGGAGGTCGAGGGCTGACTATGACTATAAAACAATATCTTTCTGAACAAATTAAATTCCTTGCGTGTGGTGGGCTTACTTGCCCCCAACAGGTGGAATAGACCCTGCTTCGCAGAAAAGTTCCCAAAGACCAGAGAGGCCTATGGGTGGGCACCTGACTACAATGTGCAATTTGACCCACAGCTCCAACGCACTCAGAGGCCACTGCCTTCTTCCCCGGAAGCTCAGATCTCAGCATCTACTTTTCTCTCTCAGTACTAACGGGGAATCACTCTAAGCTCCCCCCACTCAAAAATGCTTACGGGCATCAAGACGGCAGAAGATCCTGGCATGGTGGGGTTGGGCAGGGTCCCAGGCATGGAGGCCGGCATGGGCTGCCTCTGTCTGTTGTGGAGATGGAGCAGAGATGATAGAGAGCCTGGGACAGGCCTGGGGACAAAGAGAAACAAAAAACAAAAAACAAAAACAACACATTATTCCTGATGGCCTGGGTCTGTTACCCAGCATCCAAAACCAACGGGGACACCAACATCACAGGCAAACAGATCAGATCCTCTGATGGGAGAGCCACATAATTGAGGATATTAGGGAAATAATAACACATAAAATACATGCCTGGTTTCCTTTGCTGCTTCCTAGTTAATACATCAAATTCTACTTCATTTCCTGACCCGTTATCTAACTGATGTTCAGTGGAAACATGCTGGTGTGTCTCCAATGGCCTCTGCTTCTGAGCAAGAAACTCTGTAGCAGACTGCCCAGTTTATTCCGGGCTCAGCCTCTGGAGTGTCTTAGTGTTGAGGATCTGGGTACACTGGTATTTTAGCACACGCCTTTGCCCTGAAGCCTGCCTGACTTTGCTCCAAGTCCAAGTTCATTCCACAGTAACAGTGCAAGCAAGCTCCATTCATGTGTTCCTGGCAGAAATACTTTTGACTTTTTTTTTTTTTTTGTAGTTCTACTATGAGTGGAAAAAAACAAAGTTAGGGCACAAACAAATGCAGCTGGACCACGGGGCTTGGCACTGAACGCAGCCTTTCTTAGAGAAGTCCAGAGTTCAGCCTCCTATTACCAATCTCTCATTTCATAATAATGTGAGGTGTTAGGCTGTTTGACAGAAACTGATTTGGACCTGATACGCAGGATTCGAGTCAGCATTTCCCAGGGGAGTGCATAGTTTGAAAATTTCACTTCAACTTGCCAAAAAAAAAAAAAATTAAGAACCTGAAATTGATTTAATGAGCCAAGGAATGTGGAGCTGAGGGGAAAAGGGAGTTATTTGTGTTTATTAAAAATAGCAAACAAGTGACCTTGTGGCAATCTCCTCGTACGTCTGCTCTCTGGAGCTGGATAGACATCAAGTCACGAAATTAAAGTAAATGGCAAACAGAAAAGGCCCTGAGTCTTCTACATTCAATCCTTTAATCCTATATTCCCACTTCCAGAATCAGTGAGTTTTCTAGAGATAATAAAACATGTGATTCCTTCTGCCAAAAACTGCGTGAGGCTACAGTTAAAGGGGTGCTGTGTAGGCCACAGCCTTCCTTTAACATGGAGAACCCCCGTCCCTCCACAGCCCCAGGACAGCACAAGGCTTTGGCTAGAGTTTAACCCGGGCATCCTAGCCCAGCATGGCAGCACAGTCCAGAGAGCCCCCTTGAACCTGTCCAAAGCCCCGGCAGAGTACATGGCACTGTCTGGAGCCTTGGGAGAAAATCATGGTACCATGAGAGCCTCAACAGAGTGCCACACCCAGTCCAGAATCCCATCACAGCACCAAGGCACTGTGTGGAACCGTCAGGATGCTACAGCTCCGTTTAGGGTCACAGCTGAGCAGTGGAAGCAGCTACTCTTCCACAGAGTTCTGGTGACTTAGTGACTCAAAGAGAATCGGGGGCCGAGATGGGACAAGAGTGCCAGCAGGCTCTTCCTTCGCATGGCTGTTAAAATTCCAAAGAAGATTAAGTTTTCCACTGTTTTTGCCCGAGAGCTCTCTTTGAAAATATAGCTGTTTATTACAGTTGCGGGCGCCCTGGAAAGATTAGTCAGGAGTTAGTCAAGACTGAAATGCACAGAGAGGTACATATATGAAGACAAAGGCAGACAAAGCACAGCACAGAGGTTGCACGGATGTGCAGGGCTGCACTAATAGGGTATGAGAAGAAACCGAAGTAGGCTAGCATAGGAAGCTTACAGCAATGGACTGAGTATTTTCAAATATATCACTAAGGCTATTTCTTAACATGTGCCCTGTGGACCTCTGCAGAGTAGACCGGACCACGGGGACTAGATTAGGTGTGAATGTCCTTGGGCTTCCATGGTTTCGTCAGGCTTTGGGGGTCTAGCTGCCCCCAAACACTACAGGACAGCAGTTCTAAACCGTGGGTGGTAATCCCTTTGGGGACTGAATGACCCTTTCATAGGGTCACCTGAGACTATCCTGCATATCAGATACTCACATTACAGTTCATAACAGTCGCAGAAATACAGTTCTAAAGCAGCAATGAAATAATGTAACGGGCAGGAGTCACCTCAACATGAGGAGCTGGATTAAGGGGTCTTGGCATTAAGAAGGTTGAGAACCACTGCTGATTGAGGTTATGACTTTACTCCCTCACTAAGTCTCTTTAGAGGGGGTTAGCACAACCCAAGAGGTACAGAATGGAACCTGGTCAACAAACGACACTTGTTTGAAGTCCCCATTTTGATATTTGTCTGGGAACTCTGCTGAAAAGAGTTGCATGTCGAACAGTTACTCGATGCTGGGGAGGTGGCTCAGGGGGCAAAATTACTCACTGATCTTTCAGGGGACCCTGGTTTAATTCCCATACCCTCATGGAGGCTCACAATCATCCGAATTCCAGTCCCAGGGCATCTGATACCCTCCCTCTATATTGGCTTCCTTGAACAGCAGGCACACATATGGTGCCCATACATACATGCAGGAAAAAAAAACACTCTTACACATAAAATTAAAATAAATAATTCTCTTATAAAAAAACAATTCATTAGTAGTTCCCTCAGGTCCAAAGTTCATCATCTGAGGTACAACTTCAGAAGAGGCAACATTCACCAAGAGCAAACTCTCTACAAAGCTTGTCAACCAGCTCTGTCCACCCCAGTAGAAGCCTATCCAAACATGCCTACACATGTGCGGACATCATCTGTCACCAAGTGTTGGTCACTAGGAGGAAGCTCCAAGTGCCGCTCTGAGAAAACAAAAACCCTTAAGAGGAAGACAGTTGTGAAATTTCTCTACGTGTGGCATCGGCCTGCAAGATCGTGCTCAAGAGCAGCAGGCAGAAGGTCTATCACCACCATTTACCTTCTGCCTCTAACCTGATAATGTTAAGAAACGGACTTAGTCACCAGATGGTATTGGTGTGTGTGATTTTTTTAAAGAAGGAACTTAATTAAACAACCCAATGGATATGAATGGAAATGGCAAAGTAATTCAATTTAAAATGAGTTTTCACTCTTCTCCGAAGGCTGGAAACTCCCTAGTGTATTGAATCACTAGGGAGCGGAATATTTCATTTAATCCAATAATTAGGTTAGTTATTTCCACACCCTGTATAGATCTACTAGATTTTAAAATATCAAGTATTTCCTCTTTACTTAAGAGAGCCTTTCAGGGGACCTGGCACCCCAGGGATCAGAAGAGTTTCCAAGAGATGCAATCAGCCCGGTTAGCAATGTATACTTGGAAGGAAATAAGACTACTCAAGATGCCTGTTTGCTTGAAACGTGAACAATTTCCACGTTATTGTTTTCTATAGATTTTATGAATTAGCTCCTCAGACTGTTCTACCAAACGAACAGAGTTTTTGGGTTCTTTGCTTGACTATAAAGAGTGAAAACAGTAAGATCTGTATGTAGCCATCATGCCTTACAGAATAAACAGGGCTGGGAATGTGCTTTGGTGGACGCAGTGTGCTTAGCAAGGGTGAGAACCTGAGTTAACCCCTGCACAGCAAACATATGAAGAATTGTCCCTGTCAATGGGTCCAAAGAAACCATCCATTTATCCAGGCTATTCACACCACTGAAGCCAGAACAGTTGCAGGCATCATCTCATTCCCTTTGCATGTATTAATTAATTAATTTTGTATTTAATCTATAAACCCTTGAATAACACTTCCTATGTTTAAGTTGCTATTTTCAAGTAATTTTCAAAATGTTTTCATGTCCCAGTTTCATGCGACCTGAAGCTATGCAGTACAGTACTACTCCGGAGTAAACTGAATTTAGATACAGTTCTCAATTGTCCACAGTCACATGCATCATGGAAGGGAGCAGAGCTTCCCTTCCCTCACACCTCCGTGGTTCCTGTAACTAAGTTATTATTAATTTTTATGATAAAGTAAATTCATGGTCCATTCCTTTTGATGTTCACATCATTCTCTGTACTCACCACTAAGTAGTGAAATTCCAGGATACTGCTAACACGAGAGGTCATTCACCCACGTGAAATTCTATTTTCTTGGTTGTTTTTTTTTAAAAAAAAAAAAAACAAGTAAATAAATGAAAAATCTTCTCAACAACACATCAATTAAATTCTGCAAATCAGATGGCAAGAAAGCAGCGGAGTTGAGAAAACAAAGCCCCGACAGTCTTTCCTCCAGTGCAGGCTTGTTGCCATGAGCTAGTAATTCCAGACTTTGAGCAAGCTGAGCCTCCTTTTTAATAACCATATGCCTCTAGGTAAAGTATTTCTACTAAAAATTATTGAGGCATGGAACAAGGTAAATGTGTGAGCTCATGTTGGATTGTTCAATTACTGAACTGAGGCCGCATTAGGAGTTTTCCAACTTGACAGATTACTCCTCTTTATGCACTTGTATAAACACACCGCTTACGGCTGCAATCTATGTAAGCTTTTCTCCCAATTAAAATGTCAAGTATGACAGACTGTGTTTTCACTGTCCTTAGCAGAGTGATAGGTACCGTAGCAAGAAGTTTCATGTCCTCATTTTTCCCCCCAAAGGATGTTTTCCAGTCTGGGGGTGTCTGAACAGCCCAGGATGTGGCTGCCAGTCTCCCTTGCCCAAAGTCTGTCTCATTCTATCTAAGTAGCTGTAGGCCAGGGCTTCAGTCTGGGAGGTCTAAAGAAGGACTCTGTAGACTGACCCGCTTTCCCAGGCCTTCTAGCCATCCAAGGTACCCTGTGATTCCTTACAGACTACTAGGATGGATAGATCTGCTATGGAGCCAAAGGGAAGAGGGTATCTCTCTCTCTCTCTCTCTCTCTCTCTCTCTCTCTCTCTCTCTCTCTCACACACACACACACACACACACACACACACACACACACACACGGTGGGGAGGCTCAGGAGCTAGGCTGGCCAGATCGGAAACTGGTCTCTGTCATATATTAGTTGAGAGAAACACAGACGATGGAGACTCAGTTTGTGAAGTTTCAGAGGGAA